TTGCTCCACTAATGTTCTCCAGGATTGAGATCAGGGCTTTGTGATGGCCACTCCAACACACTGACTTTGTTGTCCTGAAGCCTCTTTGTAACTGATGTTTAGGGTCATTGTCCATCTGAAGACCCATTTGTGTCCAAGCTTTAACTTCCTGGCTGATGTCTTGAGATGTTGCTTCAATATTTCCACATAATGTTCTTTCCTCATGATGCCATCTATGTTGTGAAGTGCACCAGTCCCTCCTGCAGCAAAACACCCCCACAACATGATGCTGCCACCCCCGTGCTTCACAGTTGGGACGGTGTTCTCAGGCTGGCAAGCTTCCCCCTTTTTCCTCCAAATGTAACGATGGTCATTAAGGCCAAACAGCTCAGTTTCAGTTTCATCACAAAGATGCATCTTCAAAGACCTTCTCCAAACATTAAGGTCTTTGTCCCTGTGTGCATTTACAAACTGTCGTCTGTCTTTGTTATGTTGCTTCTGGAGTAATGTCTTCTTCCTCTGAGCAGCCTTTCAGCCCATGTCAGTACAGGACTGGTTTCACTGTGACCTCAAACAGGAAAGGTTTAGTCTGATTTAATGTCTGACAGTAAGAAAAAAAGGTTATGTGTCTTTTTATACAGTGTGTGTAAACTTCTGGTATCAACTGTATGTCTGTATTGTGCTCATACACCTTCATACATGGGCTGCTTAAAGCACAATGCAGTTGTGCACCTGCATCAATTAAATCAACATTCAACACAGCACATTCATTTAGTTTCATCTTAACTGCATTACTGATTAATTATTTGGTGATAAATTTCCAACTTACAGAAATGACAATTTGCTGTTTTATCTTAAAGGATCGTCAAACTTTTCCCACAAACGTTGGTCCACACAGAGAGCACGAATCACTCTCACCTAAACACACACAACCCACATTTCTCATCCCTCCTGGTGTTTGACATCGTATATGGTTATCTTTAGAACAACAAAAACTCTGGCAAGTCACACTGGTACCCCTCTAAATTTTTTGTAGCACTGTCTCCAAGAAATGGTCACACGACGCAACTAAATTGGTGCAGTCTGGAGCCCTGAAGCTGCTTTTTACTATTGCTGCTCTGCAGCTCCACTGGAGCCACTGGTTGCCAAATGACATCCTCTCAACAGCAGCTCAGGGAACAGACAGCAAAATTGATTTGGCATCACATTTTTTGGATCACATTTCTAACTTTCTTTTCGAAGAAATTTAACAGATTTGCGGTTTCATCATACAGTCGCATGAGCAGACATATTAAAAACAAGAAAGCTGGTATTGTTGCTTTAAAAAAGGCTGTTTTTAATCCTTTAAGAAAATGTCCAGACTTTGCACAAAACTGTACATGGATAAAATTGATGTGCAGTTAACCGGCTTTTGATGTTTGTTTAATCCAAGGAACCTATAAAGGTGGCAAAACCCAAACCCAAAAGACCCTCTGAGGAGCAGAAGAAGACCGAAAAAGCCAAAGTGGAGCTTAAAAGGAGGATTCCACAAGAATTCCAAGATTTTGGCGAGAGTAAGATGCAAACCTCCCACAGATGCCTACACACTGTTTTCCTTCCCATAAATGACATCGAAGCGCATGATAATTACATCAGAACATATCCTACTCACACTGTTCCTGAACACACTGTACATGACCGTGGATAAGCTCCTGACTCGTGAAATGTTTCTGAACCTCCATTCCGTCTTTTTTTCAAGCCGTATGCCTTCATTCTTTCTCTAGCTCGGAAGTCTGTGCGACAGTCCACCAGCGAACACACACGGAAGACCAATCTGCGCTTGCAGGAGCGTCAGGACGCCCCTCGGAGGCGAAGAGGCGCCCACCGTGACCGGCCTCTCACCCAGGAAGAGCTGCTGGCTGAGGCGAAAATCACTGCGGAGATTAATATTCGATCTTTAGGTGAGAACATGCTGCAGATTTAGGTTGAATAGAGTTCAACAACTGTGAAGACTTGACAGAATGGAGCCCAAATGTCTTCAGCAGAAAAATAACAGGCGTAGAAATTAATCTACAACAGACATAATAAGTCTAATTTATAGTTTTTTTTTGTTGACGGTTCCGATATTAACATTAGTGTTGGTGCAGATGTTTGTGGCTTCAAAAGAGCTAAGTGTGGGGTTGACAGTTATGTTTGCCCATCATTCTAAATCCTGAACTCGTTTGATCTCTTTTGTTTTGTCTCTGCAGAAAACTACGAGCGCCTGGAGGCTGACAAGAAGAAACAAGTCCACAAAAAGCGGCGTTTTGAGGGACCGACCATCCGTTACCATTCGGTCCTCATGCCCCTCGTCTCCCATTCAGTGCTTAAAGAAGAAAACGTCGATGTTGAGGGGTGCGTATGTTCACCAGTTGTTGGCAGATATAATGCTGACCTTTCTGCTGATCTGTATATGTACTGGAGTGTGCTTCAAGTAATCTGCTTCATAAGCATGTAATCTGTTTTAGATCAACATATGCCAACACATTATAGCTTCATGATTATCTGTTATGTAATTTAGCAAAGAGATTAATGTACATTTTCATCAATTGCATTTTTAAATCTGCTGCTGTGGTATTAGCTCCTGATTTTTTATTTCTTTTTTCAGAATTTGAGCAAAATAACAGTTAAAAAATACTTTAGTCGTGCAAATCTCATAAACAGCAGACATCATTGTAACGTTCCTGTTTTCTAAAGGTTGGATCAGGATGTTCCTCAGACCGCACCGCAAAATCCCACCACGCCCGCCCAGCAGCCCGCCGGAGGCCTGTGCTCCAGGACTTACATAACGTTCAGCGACGACGAAGCCTTCGAGGTGGCTTTCCCGCGCAGCGCCCAGCCGAGCCCCCAGCTCCCCGTCCAGGAGGTTTGTCCCGTCACCCACAAGGCCGCTCTGTACCGAGACCCGGTCACGGACATACCTTACGCCAACACGCGAGCCTTCCGCATCATCCGGGAGGCGTACCGCAAATACGTGGCCGCTCACGGGTTTCCCAACACTTCGGGTGGGGGGGCGGGACTCGACTCCTCGGCGACGAAGGGCGCCCGCCAGAAAATGGTCGTCAAGCAGAGTGCGGTGTCCACATAGATAGGGGAGTCACAGAATGGTGGATGTTTCTGTTTTCTTTTTAATTCTTTGTTAAGATCGAGTGACTGGAAAAAACCCACAACCTACGAAACTCTCTTCATTTTTGTTTCCATCCGAACTGTTTTTTCGTCACCAGGAATCTACAAAAAAAATAAAAATCACAGACATTGGGGACTGAGCAGTGGCTGCAAACTTGTGCTGCAGGTGTCGAAGCAATTAAAAGAAATATACGTTGAATTAGAAGAACTACAACAACTCCAACCCTTAAACTGCAAAAAATTCTAACTTGTGAAGCCTTTTTGTATGAAAGTTAAATCAGTATGTTTTGTGGTTGAGTGAATGAAGACTTCCGACTTGCCTTTGGAATTCAAAATAGGTTTGAATATGAACACTGGCAGCTTTGTTTTTGTTACTTTTAATGACTTTTTCTTGCATTTATTTTCTACAAATGTACATATTTCTGCAACAAAAACAAGAAAATAAATATTTGAAACTTGAAATAATAATCATGATTTACTATTTTCATGGAGGTCTGGTTTCGAAGACAAACAGAAACAGAAACCAAATCACGAGTCTCTGGAGTTTCGCTCGTTTAATAGTCGTCCTGTTTCATCTCGTCACAGTAATTGTGATGTATTGTAATGGCCTTCTTAACTTAATTAATTATTTCTGAAATTATCCATCCACTGAGGTTTTTTATTATTATTTTTTCGTTGCCGATGACAAAAACAGTAAATGTCGTGTTTGTTTTCAAAAACATTAATTTCACATTCAGTCCGACACCATTACTGAAACCACATGAGATCATGTTCTCAACGCCGGGCCCTGGAGTTTAATTTATCGTCTCTCTGACAAACCGCTGCAACGCTTTTAATTGATCAAAGCACTAAAAGCTGTAATTCAAATATAATTCCTCCCTCTTATTACACATTGCTAAGCTTTAGCACAACAAGGACAACATATAATTGTATTGTTTAGGGACCCACAAACTCTTTTCCTATTGTGTCGTCTGATGGTTTGCTCCTCTCTGCAGACAACAGCATCTATAAAAAGCAGAGTGTTTCGAAGCATCCGGAGCATCTTTGAGCCGGTTGTGAAGCTGTTACAAAAGGCTGTTTTTTTTCTGTTCATGGTTAATAGCAGAAAATTGTTTGAGCTACAGTCTCGAACAATACCGCTTGGCTGATCCCTCCAGGACCTTAAATTAGGTTTTCTATATTTATTCTCTCAGTACACAATCAGAGAGCGGCAGAGTCACCCCTGTACACCGCTGAGTGCTTGACTAGTGTGGCATCTTTAACCCGTCGCACGCCGGACAAAAATCACTTCGGTCTCATCGAATCCCAGCAGGGCTCTTCATGTGAAGGCCCTGGAAGTCACGCTACGGCAGGAAGTACAGCTCACATTGTATGAGAGGTTGTTTTTCGTGAAAGTTTTTCTATTCAACATGATCGATGAGGACGACTAGTGAAGCCAGTTCCAGCCCTGCAGAGTCTGCCTTCGTATCACTTTAGCCCTCAGCCAGGCAGCAAATTCCCCTTTTTGGAAAAGCTCCCAAAACTCTCACTTGATGCTTCCTTTGCAGCACATTTGCTCCTGTTTCTCTGCAACACCCTGATGATGTTAAGCAGAGCGTCTTGTTGCACAGTCTGCCTTCTGCGATGGGAGTCACCGGGCTTTTGATGTTTAGCTGCACTTTCTTTTTTACCTGTCTGCTGAGATCTCTGATCTCCTGCACTCGCCTCTGAAGACCCCGTCTGCTTTGTGTATTGATCAAACCTGACGGAAAATGTTTTTTTCTGCGCTTGCCAAGATGAGCCTACGAGCAATATCTGCTTCCTAAAGCCATAGAAAATCTGATTAGGGTGTAAGTGTGTTTAAAAGGAAACTCCCACTGATGTTCTCCCACAATGCAACAGTCAATGAAGCTGCTTGGAAAAATTAAGTTTACAGATGAGGATGTTGAAACAGCTTAAAAAAAAACCAAACTTCAGAAAATAACTAACAGCTAAGTTTGTGGGTGAACATTTGTTTTTCTGTCTTAACTGGCAGCAACATTCTGAAGTTGCAGGTAGATAGTTGATTTAGTTAGCATTTAGAAAAGCTAAATATTTACAGTCTCTCGTGCTCCTTTCTCCTCCGTCTTCCCTCCACGTGTACAAACCTGCACAATGAGTGTTGTGGAAATCAGCCCGAGCTACTTTGTTAGCAAAATGCTAAACTACTGGCAACAGCTACATGACCTAATTACACGACAACACATTAGGACAATAATGTTTGGTGTTGTTAGTCGTTGCAACTTTACCGGCGTAGTTTTCTGCCACTGAACCACCTGAAGGATCATGCATCTGCAATTGTAGAACATCCAATAGGAACACTCTCTGTCT